CGGAGGCGAAAGCTAGCGCGACGGAGTTAGGAGAGGGAGCTCGAAGAAGGCCTTGATTGAATAGACCGCGATTAAGACGACACAGTTTAATAAAATGCACTATTCACACTATTTACAATTCTTCTTACACTATCTTCGCGAAGGAATAAGAATCAAGCTAACGGAGTAGCACAATGCGCGGCGCAAGCGGGTACTTCTCTCGGAGAGGAACTTCGAAAAGGCTGGCACGCGCCCCCTCGCTCCTGCTTTTTATTGGCACATGCCCTTCTAGAAGGTTCCCCCCTTTCCTTTTGTTAAACAACGAGCAGGATTGCCTTATAAGGCGATAATTGTCGGAGCCTTGTAGAAGGGCATGATTGGTCATCGCTCGCTTTTTGTGGAAAAAAACATGTTTTGCTCGCGCCGTTTCGCGCCACTTGAGAGGCAGCCCGTGATTGGGCGCTGGTGACGGCGGCGGGCGCTGAGCGCGACCGTTGCCGCCCGCGCTCGGGCTTGGCGTCACGCGCGTATGCCGTGATTATGGTCAATCCCGAACATCCCGCCCGCCTCGCCCGATGCAACTGGCGAAATAAGGCCGCGGTGCGGAAAAAAGGCTAAAGCGTCCCCGCCCCTGCGGGGGCTACGGTTCTGTTCGAAAAACGCTACAGCAGCCGATACATCCCTCGCACGCGATGAGGATTGCGATCGAAGCATAACGCGGGTTTAAGATCCACCAGGAGGCGAATAGGGACGCAAACGGTCGGAGCGCCGAGTTCGACGTTATGATTAGGCGCTTGATAGACCCCGCTTAGAAGAAGTAGAGTAGGCGGCACAGAGACCCGGCGGCTACTCACTATGGTCCTCGTCAGTCTCGGCGTCAGTACCGGGTAGGAGGACAAGCTTAACGATGGGTCGCGTAAGCTCGGTCGCGGCTGTTCGGACGTCGACTACGCGGACTTGATCGTCTTCCCCGGGGTGGACTCGGACGATCCGCGCCAGTGGCCATCGCGTTGGCGGAGTGTTCTCGTGTCTCACTAGGCACAGGCCGACCTTGAACGACGACTCTTCTCGGCACCACTTTGAGCGATGTGCGAGGGAATGGAGATATTCTCGCGACCAGCGATCCCAGAAGTGGTCCCGCATCTGCTGCAGCATTTGCCAACGGGACAGGCGGCCCGCTGGCAGCTCCCTCATAGAAGGCTCCGGAAGGGCGGTCAGCGCGGACCCCACCAAGAAGTGCCCTGGGGTGAGCGCGGCCAGGTCCTCCGGATCGTCCGACAGAGCCTGGAGTGGACGCGAATTGAGGCAAGCCTCAACTTGAGAGAGGAATGTGCTCATCTCCTCGAAGGTTAGGGTCGCGTCCCCCAGCACGCGCCGCAGATGGTGTTTGAGTGACTTGACGGCGGCCTCCCAGAGACCACCGAAATGGGGAGCAGCCGGCGGATTGAACCGCCACTGTATCCGATCGTTGGCGATCCGCTCGCCGATCCGACGCAGCTCGGGATTGCTGGCCGCGAAGAAAGCTCGCAATTGTGCATCGACGCCTACGAAGTTGGTCCCGCAATCGCTGTGGATGGCGTGACACAACCCCCGGCGTGAAGTGAACCGCCTTAGTGCGGCCAGGAAGGCATCGGCGGTGTAGTCAGAGACGACCTCCAGGTGCACCGCTCTGGTGGACAGGCACACGAACACCGCGATATAGGCCTTGTATGCCTTATGTCCCCGGCCTTTGGTCGTGCGCAGCTGGATCGGTCCGGCGTAGTCCACGCCGGTGTTGAGGAAAGGTCGGGCCGGAGTCACCCTAGCGCGGGGAAGGCTGCCCATCAGCTGTTGCGGGATCGCCGCCCGCCATCGGACGCACGGTACACAGCGGTGGATCAGCCGCTTTACGACTGCTCGTCCTCGAGGGATCCAGTAGTTCTGGCGGACCATCCCCAAGGTCATTTGAGTTCCGCCATGCAGAGCTCGTCGGTGGCACGCCTCCACGATCAGCCGAGTCAAGTGCGATCCTCCGGGGAGTATCGCTGGATGCTTCTCGTCGAAGGAGAGAATGGCGTGCTTCAGTCGACCGCCCACGCGGAGGACGCCTCTGGGATCAAAAAATGGGCTAAGGCGAGCGAGCGAGTTAGAATTCGGCAGGGCCTTGCCCTGCTTAATCGACTCTAATACGGGTTTGTAGCTCGCCGCTTGCACGGTGCGGACCCAGCACAGGCGTGCGTCGTCCAGCTCGGCGGCGGACAGGGTCCCGCAGCGCGGTGAGCGGATCGGCTGTGGCGACTTCAACCTTTCTGTGTCGCTTGACGCTCGAGGGAGCCATCTGCGACACCAGGCCGTCACGCGCAGCAATCGCTCGAGAGACGAGAATCTAGTCAACTCGTCTGGTTCCTTGTTTTCGCGAGGCGCGGTTTCTGCCGCGTGGACTCTGACCCGTCGCTCGGGCAGATCCTCGTCCGTGGCCGGGATGTCCGTGACCGGCCAGAAGGACGGCTCCGCCAGGAGCCAAGGAGGGCCCGTCCACCAAAGCGGGTGCGTCACGAGTTCCCCGGGAGAGAGGCCCCGGGAGGCGCAGTCCGCCGGGTTGTCCTGTCCGGGGACGTGGTGCCACAAGGCTTCGGGGACGGCGGTCTGGATCTCGGCCGCGCGGTTCGCGACATACGTTTGCCATCGGGTAGGGTGGCCCCGTATCCAGCCAAGAGCAACTGTAGAGTCTGACCAGAGATGTAGTGGAACCTCGGCAACAACGGCCAGCGTCCGTCTGAGGTGGGCGGCAAGCCTGGCGAGAAGGGTCGCGGCGCAGAGCTCCAACCTCGGTAGCGAGACCTGCTTGAGGGGAGCAACCTTTGTTTTAGCCGTAATTAAGTGAGTTATCACTTGACCGTCAAATTCAGCTCGCAGGTACAACACGGCAGCGTAAGCGCGCTCGGAGGCGTCCGCGAATCCGTGTAGCTGCATCCTGGCTCCCGAGTGGTCGGAGGTAAGCCACCGCGGAATTCTGACTCCCTCGAGCTGCGGAAGTTCAGCCTGGTATGCGACCCATTGTCGAGCGGAATCCTCGTCTAGGGGCTCGTCCCAATCAAGCCCTTGGAGCCAGGTTGACTGGAAGGCAATCTTGGCTCGCACTATTACGGGTGCTAACCAGCCGAGTGGATCAAAGAGTCGCGACGTTAGAGATAGGACCGTTCGCTTGGTTATGGATGTCACCGAAAGCGATTTCGTGGAAAAGGAGAAGCAATCGGAGCATGGATGCCACTGCAACCCGAGGGTCGCGTGAGTCTCGTGTGGCTGCCAGGCGCGAGGCTCGCGCTGCAGCCTGTGCTCAGCGGGGATGCCTTCCAATAGCGACTCGTCGTTTGCGGACCACTTTCTTAGGGGGAACCCGCCCGCCGTGCAGATAGTCGATAACTGCCGTTGAAGCTCTCGAGCTTCCGCGAGAGAGGCGGCGCCGGTGAGAATGTCGTCCATGTAGACGCCACGCTGGAGGACTTCCGCTCCCAGTGGGAATCGCTCCGCTTCGTCTTCAGCGAGCTGGCGGAGGGAGCGCATGGCCAAGAAGGGCGCGCACGCTAATCCGTATGTGACCGTAGTCAACCGATACTCACGGAATTCCTCCCTCCGGTTCGGTCGCCAGATGATCCTTTGCAGATCGCGATCCTCGGGATGGACTTGGATCTGACGGAACATCTTCTCTACGTCCGTGGCGAGGACGTATCGATGGTGGCGCCAACGTAGGAGCACGTCGGCGAGCGGTGGCAGCAGATTGGGTCCCACCATCAAGTATTTGTTCAGCGAGTCGCCCGAGGCCGTCATTGTCGAGCCGTTGAAGACGACGCGCAGCTTAGTGGTGGAACTGGACTCTCGCAGGACTCCGTGGTGTGGAAGGTAACTGAGCCTCCCCCCCGGTTGATCGGTCCGATCCACGACTTCCATGTGGCCCAACTCCTCGTATTGCAGCAGGAACTCTAGGTAGAGCTGCCGCAGGCGAGCATCCTGCTCGAATCTTTTTTCCATGCTAGAGAGGACACGCTGCGCAGTTTGGCGCGTGGATGCTAGACACGGCAGCGGCTCGACGACGGGGAGTCGCACCACGTATCGGCCCTCTGCGGTGCGCGCGTGCGTTCGTCGGAAAAAGTCCTCGCAATTTTGTTCCGCCGGCGTGAGCGGCGGGGCGGCGGCGGGCGCCTCTTCCTGGAGCCAGAATTTTTGTACCAGTGCGGGCAGGCTTTCCTCGGCTCGACATTGAAGCGTCTGAGCGCGCCGAACATCTGCTGTCCGTCCGACAACCCCCGAAAGGATCCACCCTAACTTAGTTCTCTGCGCCACAGGTTCGTAAGGACCCCCTTTCCGAAGGCCGGCCTGAAGAATGGAGGCATAGACGTCGGCACCCAGGAGGATGTCGATTGAGTCCGCTGCTAAGAACTCTGGATCGGCGAGCTCCAGTCCGTTGAGGTGAGCCCACGTCCGACGTTCCACCCTAGTTCCGCCGTCGTGGAGAGTGAGACGGGGAAGAATTATTGCCGACACCGGCGTCGGCGGCCCGCCTCCACGTGGCGAGATCAGAAGGTCCACAAGGCCGCGCGCGAAGCCTGTGCGCTTCCCCCCGACTCCGAATACTGCAATCGAGGTCGGCTTGCGGATGAGCCGCAAGCGTTGGGCCAGCGACTCCGAGATCAGCGACGAATCGGAGCCCTGGTCTATGAGCGCGCGGGCGAAGTGGTCAGTGCCCGTTCGGTCCTTTACGCGAACGCGGGCGGTGGCGAGCAGCACTGCCACCGGAACCTCGGGCCGCTGCGCGAGGTGCGCCACTCTAGCGACTTCGGTAGATTTCGCGCCCTTGTCCGCTCGACAGGCGTCGTGCAAGGTCGAGTGGTGGCGCGCGTTGCAGGAGGTGCACGTCCGTTGAGAAGCGCACTCACTTAGCTTGTGCTTGCCGAGGCAGTTGATGCACAAGTGATGCGTCTCGACATGCTTCTTTCTCTCCTCAGCCGTCTTCGCCTGGTACGCGTCGCACCTTAGAATGTAATGATCCCGTCGGCAAAGAGTGCAACGGCCATACTTATTTTCTCTTTGGTGCGCGTGTAACGCGCGGGCCTGTCGGGTCGAGGTCTCGCTAGTCTTAGCAGGGCTAGCGTCCGCCTTGCTGGTCTCCGGTCTTAGCGGTTGCAAAGACTCGAGGGTATGCAGGTGTCGCTCCAGGAACTGGCGCAAGTCGGAATACGACGGCGGTTCAGTCGTCTCGCTTATCGCGTTCTCCCACTCACGGCGCGATTTGGAGTCGAGCAGCTCCACTATCAAGTGCACGAATAGGTCCTCGCCCCGTGTGATCGGCCGACCGATGCCCTCCAACGAACCGACTGTGTTGAGAACGCAGTGGAACAACTTACGCAGCTCGGGGGCGGACTCGCTCTTAAGCTTCTGCAGGGCCGTAAACTGCGCTATGTATGAGCGCACCAGAAGTCTCTTATTCTCATAGTAATCAGTCAGAGCCTTCCACGCACGTTCGAAGTTCTCGTTAGTGGTGGTTAGACTGCGGATGAGAAGATCGGCCTCTCCTTTCAAGCAGGACTTTAGATAATGCAGCTTTTCCACCTGTGTTGTGGCGGCATCCTTCCCAATAATCGAGTGAAAGAGATCGCGGAAGGGGGGCCAATCCTCGTAACGGCCCGAGAACTGAGGCAGTTGAATTCGCGGGAGTGTCGTGCGAGGCGGATGGGGCGCCGCGGCAGGAGCTGCGGGGAGCCCCTCTTTGACCTTGGCTTTCATGCAGCGGAGGGTCTCCAAGAATAGGCCCTTTTGATTGACAAAGGTCTCTTCGGCGAGAGAGCTTATGTCCTTCTTCAGGTACTCGTGCCCGGTCAGGGCCTCCCAGAAACTTTCAGAAAGCCGATCATGGTGAGCCTCGAATTTCGCCCAATTGGATTCGAGGGCCTGCAGGCGGGCCTCCGCCAGCCCGATAGTGATGTTAGCGGCGCCCTGCTTCTTCAGGTTGTCGTAAGCGCGGGCGATTTTACCGTAGAGGTCAATCTGGGAACGTATTAACGCTTCTGCCTCCCTGGGGATAGGTTCCTTGGGGGGTTGCTCCTTGGAGGCCTGTTCCTTGGAGGTCTGTTCCTTGGAGGTCTGTTCCTTTCCGTCGCCCTTGCTCATTGTTACTCTTCAGACTGGAGACCGAGTGTGCGGACGGTCACTACAGCGGTTACACCCACGCACTGCACAGATGCCGGAGTTTGAGATCCGGCTCGAAGGACCACTAAATGTTCGTACGCGGAGTAGGCGTGAGCTCGCGCGGAGGCGAAAGCTAGCGCGACGGAGTTAGGAGAGGGAGCTCGAAGAAGGCCTTGATTGAATAGACCGCGATTAAGACGACACAGTTTAATAAAATGCACTATTCACACTATTTACAATTCTTCTTACACTATCTTCG